GCATTTCTTGGTGCTTGCCAAACCATCTCAGAGGACGATGAAGATTCACAAGCCATCAGTTGAAAGAAGTCATTGGGAGGAAGCCCCAATCTAAATCCCATCGGTGCGGTCGTCCAGCCAAATCATTAAATCTATCGGTTTGATCAACCATGGCGATTTCCACAAGAATTTGATCAACCAACATTTGAACTAGAGATGTAACATCGATAAACCCATCCCGCCAATATGACTGAGATTTCATGAATGATAATCTACCAACATGGGGTTAAACCGGGTTAAACATTGCAAATCCTAGGAGCCCTGCTCTGTTAGGTTGAAAATCACCACCATTTATCACTGTATCACCATTAAAACGAAGGATTAAACTGCTCATCGAAGTTTCTGGGATCAAATATGACCAGAACATGTGGACCATGGGGACCCATGGGGAACCAACTCATTTCAAGAGGGCTCTGTTGGTATTTCAATGGCATCTGCAAAAAAACAGCCAACTTCTGGTGTTTGCATTCGACATTTGAATTTAATTTCGGCATTATATACCTACATGGGAAAACCACCAACAAAATTGGTGCGCCCCAACAAACACTTGTTGGTTGAACCGCAAAAAATAGCACCGCCGGGGATCATCATCCCATTTTCCAAGAAGAATCAACAACATAAATTGAAACCAACGCAATTTGATTTCTTGATCCCAATGTGGATAGCACGCTTACAGGACTTTTCCTGGCCTGTTGAGGCCCCGCGCAGTAGGAATGTGATTGCCATCATCCCCGCTTATCCGGTGCTAAATAGTTCTAACTAACATACACTGGCTCAGCCACTTTCTGGCTCTGGCAGGAAGTTGATGTTGCACATGTCTATATCAACATGCAATGTTCAACAAGAAAATTCACCCCAGTGATTCCTGCCAACAAAAAAATATCCGAAAATGGCCGAAAACAACTATACATGGAGTCCGGAGCAACAAAAATCTAACATCTTCCCCTCGGTTTCACCAGCTCCGGAGCCTGGAGCCCACTTTCGGCCTGGGACAATGTCGAGAGCACAACCTTTTAGATGGGCAATTTTTTCGTGTGGTGACAATTCGACCGCATTTGGAAACAAACGCGCGCCCACAGACACACAAACATCTTTAAACATCATATCCAAAAACATCTCCCAAATACAAGACATCCACGCTTTTTTGCGTTGACAAAACCAAACCCATCCAATTTGACGGATCAGTGCTGTTGAGCCGTCGTTAGTTGACGTAAGCAACGCTTACTTATATTCAGTGTCAGCATGAAAAATGCATCCTTCATTAAACATCAGTGGCTGGAAAATTTACAAGCCGCCGGAACCAGTCTTCCGACTGGTAGAAGTCAAGGCCAAACGCCACCAAAAGAGGGGCACTCAATCCAACACACATGTTTTTATTTACCTTCATCATGGGTGGACATCGGGGGCAATTATCCAACCATGAGCTATCACAGGAAAAGAGGCACTGCGTTATATAATTGAGCCTGTCAATTCTTGTGTAAATCCATTTCCGCTTGCGAAATCATAATCTTTTGAGTCAACATTCGTGGTGGAGGACACCTAGCTTAGAGATCTGCTAAAAATGGCCACCCACCACAAACAACATCTTCAGACAGTTTTCATAGTGTGTGGGTTAAGCTGTGAGAAAATGCAACAAAAATCAAACAGCAAATCATCTAAACAGAAAACCAATGTTTTTTTTCCTTTTTTCCATGGGTTAAAATACTGGTTGGTGGTTTCAACACCTCTGAAAAATATTAGTCAGTTGGGATGATTATTGCCAATCTATGGCAAAATAAAAAATGTTCCAAACCACCAATCAGGGTTAAAATATGTCTCACCAACCTTTTGTTTCACACCTTCTGGGCCTTCCGCACTCCCATCACTTGGCTCAACAGCACTGGGCGCGCGTTGAGCGTGCGAAAGCTCACAGGCTTGCCAGGCCTAGGTTGAAAAACCATCTGTGCTGAATTTTGTCTGGTTCAAAGATGTTCAAAACATCATTTTCCATACGAAATCTTTGAAATAAGCAATAAGCAAGCTGAAAATGGGTTGCCATCAGCTTCGCATGTGGACTGCTCTCGTGACATCTCGTGACGGATCGAATAGATCTTCCATTACGTGGCTATTTTCCAATTTTTTGATTGGGTCCTTTCACCAGGTTCAAATCCCTATCTCCCATAAGCTTCAAAGGAATTAAGTGCTGGTTTCAATTCAAAGATATTCGTCAAAATTATCCGAAATAGGGCTGAACAGGATTGCTAATGCAGTTTTTTCCCCACATGAATTTCCCAATTGTGGTGGATTAACTAATACGAACATTGACACCACTCAAATCATCCAAGCTGTTCGGCGCATTTTTTTCTCTCGAAATTCTCTTTTCACTCCTCTGGTGTCAGATATGGAATGGACAAGGGGGTTGCCCTCTTGGCCAAGGTTGGAAGTAAGTTGGAATCAAGATTGCGGCCACACTATTGCGAAGCTCAGCATCAGTGACCTAAAATTCCCACACGGACACAACCATCGAAGAACATTGTATTGAACACTTAGATACATTGGTTAGCTTGTGTTGAACAACGAGCTGGCCTTCATTTTGCAGTGGCCAAAAGTCATCTTGAAACCAAACTAGGGATTCAATCTTTCAAGGCTCAAAAGATGCCCGTCAATGGATGCTGGGACTGCCATTGTAACCCAGTTTCGCGCGCAACTCATGCAGGGTCCTGGCGGCTACTGTGGCAGCGGGACGAGTTTTTCCGCAACTTGGATGGTTTTCAGCCAATTTCCAAATTTCTCTGGTCTCTTCTGGGTTTTCCAAAAAGCACAGCCAAAGGTGGGAAGAGGGTTTCGAAAGCTGAGAGGGCATTGAGTTTGAGGACAAACGTCCGAAAAATCTGGAACGTTACCACATTTTCATGCAAAACCATCAAATATCTACTCCAGGTGACGCAAAGATTGCGCTGTCTTGCTACTCATTCTTTCTCACTCTTGAAAAAGCTCGGTTAAACTGCGTTGACAGGTTTGCAACATCAAACATTGGCCTGTAGAAACAAAGGATACCCCCCAACTTTGCCAAATTTCAATGGGAAAAAATGGTTGTCATCGGAATTGGACACGGCCCATAACAAATCCGACGGTCGGGGCCCAAAACTGTGCAGTTTCATGCCAGCACCCGGCATAAATTATGCCAACGAAACATGCTTTTTGTTTTAATATACAATATTATTTTTGCTGTTAATAGGTGATGATGAAATAGACACAGCAGCTCAAACACATGAAGAATCCGGTTGTGCATTGCCAGTGTTTCAACAAATTCTATTGGTGAAAAACGGGTCGCTGATCCTGTCTATACCCGAAGCAAGTACGGTACCTAGCTGACAATCAACCAAAAACCTGCTAGAATGCTGAAGCAACGTTTGCTATGACAAGTAGTTGGTCAACCCTTAACTTAAATGTGAACATGGACCATCAGGGGGCCACCTCGGAGTATGGTTACCTTTCATTAAATCACATGAACTATTTGAATCTTTGGAATCCATTTTGAATTCATTTTGAATCCTCCACGAGTCGCTCCTGAGCATACCGGGTTTCATCTGCAAGATGGCGGCTAGGGCTTTCCGCTCACAGTCTTTGCTATTCCTGGGGGCCCGCGGCGATGGACTTGGATACCCTGGTAACTATCAATTTATCGCTCCAAAAAAACATGGGTTAACTATCGGTGATCAATAAATATTATGGTTCCATAAGTTACAATTTGAATAGTATTGGTGATAAACTACATCCCAGTGCCGTTCTGCAAGGCATTCTTGTTTTCAAGGAATTGTGACCCTATCCAATGGCTTGGCAGCTCAGGGATGCTCCAATCAATCATGGCTGTTGGATCAACTTCCACGGAAGAAAGACACGCAGGTTATGGTGAATACGTCCAAATCAATGTACAAATATATCAAACATCGAACTAGATAAATCAATGTCCACATAAATAAATATACTTAAATGATATAATATGCATGCATATGCATACACATACATATGCGAGTAAATGCGGTCAATTTTGGCGACAAAATACAATCTTAAACTACTCAAACCAAGCGGTTGGCCAGTTTAGACATTCACAGGAAACAACCATCAATACACGGGGATCTTGCTCGGTCCCTTTAACCCAACCATGGGCAGCATGCACCATGCCCATCCCCACCTGGTCTAACAGGTAGCCAACCAACAGTGTAACAGAAGGTAGCTGAGCACTGAACATGTAATCCATCCCACATTACTGGTGGGGCTGTGCATGAAACGATCCTATTGAAATTGAGGGAAACCAAGACACAACCCACTAAAACCAATGTTTGAATGTGCTTGTCACTTACCGTTGCCAAACACAAGATGCAAAACTTTATAGGGTGCTTGCGCCCAACACTGCCCAAGAACAACATGCAAACATCAATTGCACATGTGCCCACTAATGCAAAGCTTCATTCAACCCACTTCAAGGTACAACCATTGCACAGACTTTGGTTCTGAGACTGGACTGCAGGTTTGAGTTTATACATTCAACAGATGATATGAGCTTACTCGAGCCGCACATAAGCAAGGTCAATGACATATGAATGGGGGGTTCTCCAGCCAGCCATCTTTGATTACTGGAGGGTAAGGATCAAAAAAAGATATAGACAAATAAACGATCATATGGTTGGGAAAGTCTTTTGGTAGCTCGTTGGTTCCCTACTATTTGAAAGGGAATATGGATATCCATAGTTCCCATTTGCTCCCTCCAACCCCCTGGAAAGAACAGGTTCATCAATATCTCATCATTATATTGTCATTCTAGTTGGATGGTTGAACATATCTATGGATAATAAGAGCCGTTACTGGCTGAGAACCCGCAATAGCTGGGCCAAAAAAAGGTGTAAATGAGCATCGATCTGATGGATATTACTACAACATGTGAGCCATAAATATTAACAATGTTTTTTCATAAATATGGTAACCACTGATGTTTAATCATGGTGAGTAAACCTAACATTTTTACAATGGACCCCATCTCCGATCCCTGCGGCCCAAGCGATGCGATCCCAGATGCGAGTGCCCCATTTCGGTGGCTGAGGGGTTGCGTCGAGCGTCAAAGGCAGTAGCAGCCTGTGAAGAAACGAAAGGATGACGTGGTGGGTTGGATGATGTTGGATGGTTCCATCATGTTCCATCCAAAAACCACCAGAAAATGATTTCCCGTTTAACATTTGAAAGCTTTGACCTTTCCTGAGATCAACTTGAAAAGTCAAGGTTATAAACGATGTCCAAGCTCCGATGCTGGGTGGGTTTACATTCAAACTTCTGTGTGTTTTCTTTTGAAGTCTAGCAGTATTGAAAATTAAACATATCAAAAGCCATTCTGGGAATGTTGTCCGGCATCCAAGCAGGAATGGCCCAACCAACTAGAGAATCAGCCCAGGGCGGGCCAACCAAAAACGATATGACATGATTTTTGAACATCATACCATCCAAGTCTGGTGGTTCACGAGAAAGGGTTTCTTACTCAAGAAGAGTTGTGGTTCAAAGGCTAGATTTTCAACTTATAATCAGTTCCCTGCTCTAAAGTGAACAAAGTCAGTTGGGGGTGGCAATGAGCAGCCCGTGGTTGCTTGTCATACCCCCACATGGATGAAAACATGTTACTTGTGGAGCGGTAGTGTTCGTAACTTCATAAAAAGGCCCGTAAGATCTGTTTTTTAAAAACGGCATAAGAAAACTTTGCTCTCGTATTCAGGCGATAGGATCCTTTCCACAGCCCTCAGCTTTATACATGAACACCGTGGAACATCCAGATCGACACCCAAATCTACAACGCGACCTTTTTTTAGCTACTCAGCGGTACAAAAAGTATTTTTCCAGCCATTTCCCTCGCCTTCAAAGCTTGTTGGCGTTCATCTTCCGTGATAAGATCATCGGGAAACCTGTGCTGAGTCAAGAACTTGGATTGACTAACAAGGGTGGAGAAGACATGTATATATATATAAAGGTATATATGCACAAATCAAAAATACATGTATAATGCGTCTGTCTGTCTGTCTGTATGTATGTATGTATGTATGTATGCATGCATGCATGCATGTATGTGGGTGTGTATGACTGCACGTTGTGTTGTTTGAATTTCCAATATGTAGATTATAGTATATGCATATGTGAATATGTAAATAAATATATATATATATATGCTATATATTGCAACAATATATAATATAAATAAATAAATAAAGAAAAATAAATAAATAAATAAATAAATACATAAAAAAAAATATATATGCACATATATGCGTGAATGTATCCACAAATAGCAAGCTTGTCAAAAGCCAATAGCATCGCGCCGGTCCCGGAAGCGTGCCCAGAATATTCTCAACTTAGGTGTGGGTGTAATGTTGCCACAGGGGGCCAAATGTCTCAAACCATTCTATTTCTATCCTTTTCCAACTGGACATATCATTTGTCCTTTAAAAAAACCCGCCTCCTGCTTAGCAGTCACAACCACCACTTGGTAATAAAGAAACATTTCTACAGCAAGCTAAAGAAGCAACAGCACCAAAACAATTATCTGAAAATGCTAGCGTCCGCATAATGCCGTTTTGTTTGTTTCCTACCAAGTCAACAAACAATTGGAAGAAACCCATCCCCGCCAGGCAGCATGAAATCCATGAAATCTTGCACTTCCTTGTCAAAGCTTTCAGAGGATTCAGTCAGTCCTTGGTGTCGGCTCCGGATTTGATGGTTGATTGTCTGACTGATTTGCTACATGAAGAGCCACCATCACCATCTGGAACTCACAAGGGAAGTCAAAATGCTTCTTGCTCTGCTTTCAACCCTGCTGGACAATATTGATTCTTCAGGATTATAATCCCAAACCCGAAATGAATACAGTCGACTTGGTTTATCATTCGAAAAATGAATTAAGTTGAGATGAAATAATGATGAAATAATGATGAACAAAAGTATAGTGAAAACAATGTTGTAAGAACATTCGGAATGAAATGAAAATCTTCCAAATTGAGCTGAAAAAGGTAATGTAATGCAAACGCACACACGCATACGTACATATATGCAAAATACATGAGATATCACTTATCCACACCAAGATAAAGTATAAGGATGTGTTGTATAACCATATTCCATTTAAAATCAACGACCATGAACCAATTTTACCAAGTTTGGAGCATTTTTGTCCACTAGCCCGGTATAGATCCATTCAACAGATCCAGCCCAAATTTCCGGAAACAAGAGCCCAGTCAAGCAAACCAGCAAACATGCAGTAATTTCAGGGAAGAATAAGGGGATACACAACAGGTTATAGGATCAATGACATGGATTCTTAGTTTTGATTTTGAGCTCGGCTTGTATGAACAAAATGTGCAATGTTTATGGCAAAACATACGAACAAATCCCTCCCAAGGTTGACCCCGAACATGTCAACTGTTGTGCTTCTTCTACTGACTCTGATTTCGGCCCACATTCTCATACCTACCTGATTGCATTCAACAAAAATCCTGCTAAAATACGATGAACTCTGAGTATTAGCGACCAGCATGTTCGCACTCTTCCCCAATCAGCTGAATGATCTGAATGTAGCTGAGTCGCTTTCAAAACTCAGCACATGGGTGTGGTTTGCTGGATCATCTAAAGATCCCACTATGTCTTGGATCAAGGGGAGAATCCTGGGAGGTGTGATAGATGCTGCAATGATCGTAAAATGCATCACCATCTTCACCTGAAACCATGATTTCCAGCACTAGGATATAGGTATGTCTCAAAACACAACCTCTTTTCATTGTGAATTCTTGAAGCAAACGGTATACGGTATACATTTTAGATGCTTGTCCCCAAAATCAACATTTGGATTTTGTCCGTTAAGGCAGCAATTTTTGTTGATGAAGTCCCTCTTTCAACGATGATTGTGCAATTTTCCCGTCTGCGGCTCCTGTCTGCTGTGAACTGGGCGCCATCTGCGAAGCCAAGGCCGTGAAGTTCTTTTTCTGGTACGAGCCTCAAACGGGAAACCCCTCGGTTTCGAACACGGGGACTCCAGGAAGTTGTTCAAACTATTTTGGGGCTTCAGTCAGGATATGTCAGGATCACCGGCCCATCTGGCTGGGATTGCCAGCTCGTGGGTTATGATAATCCCTACTTAGAATCATTCATCAACAATACAGAACGTGTAAAACGCCTGCGCTAATCATCAACTAGCCGCTTGTTCAAAGGTTCATGGCCGTCGCGATGGTAGCAATACGCAGACCTCACAGTTGAGCCACAGGATATATGGGCAATGTGGGTAAAGAGCATATGGGAGTTCAATGGTCCAACAAGAACCTTCTTGACAGTGCATTTGTTGGTATGGGCTAATCTTGTGGATGTGGCCATGGTGAAATAACCGCCAATATTTCTTGTTACTTAGGATATAAGCCGTATAAACATGTCTCATATTCTTCCCCAATCACATGAAATTGTAAACTTGTTCAGGCCAACGGCAAAAACGCGACAACCACATGAATCATGCAAACTTCATACAACTGCGAGTTTTGTGAATAATTTTTGTAACACCTTGGCAGTCTTCAAGGCTCACAATACTCTGAACTCAAAAAGCACGTTACATCTTCACTTCAGAAGCGACCTACATGTGCGATGAAAACAAGGGCAGCATGCAGCTCCATTAGCGGCTATTTGCAGCAAAAACAAACGTTGTTCCGCAATCTTCCTTAGTCTTGAAGAGAAAATTAAGCCTTTAAGCTGACATGCTGACATGCTTCAAGCATGCATTGTTCCCTGCAAGATAAGGCTGATATCAGTTGACCTGTTTGACATCTGGCTGCAACCGAGCTGCGCTACCATCACCAAAGGATCCCTGACTGAAATTGCTGTGTACAGCGGCGCACGGTTTTTCTGTTTGCGCTCCTTCGAAAGGAATCGTGGGTGCGTTGGTGGTGAAATTTGCTGCGGGATAGTTTTTCTTGTTTGGCGCACTCTTAATTCGAACAAGGACCCAAAATTGATCTTGGAAACCCGGCTTTTTGACTTCTGCACGTTACCATTGTTGGGGGACATAGGGGGGACCTGTTTGGGTTTTGGGTGGCTAGACCTTGCTAACCAGGGTGGAATGAAAAGATAATGGTTCCTAGTCTCGGACCAACCCCGGCAAAGTTACCACCAATTGAGGGCAAAATGAATGTGAAAATCCACAACCGCTGGAGGGTAAACAAGTCAAATGCCTGTCAAACAATTGTGGACTTGGGTTTCCCAGAAATAGGCCGCCCCGAACTCCTAGGACCTTCCACAACTTTACCCGTTAAATTTTCGTCCTTCTGTGCATAAGAGGCGTTGTAGCTATCCTTGGCAAGGCAACTGTGCAGCAGGACCCTGTGCAAATCCATAGCTGCAACAACGTATCTTGTCCCCACTAATTACAACAGTGATTCAAAATCATTATCCCAAACGAATCTTCTTTCATTAAACAAGTTCTCAATGCAAACCACACACATATATAAAGATATATGCATAATATGCAAACATAAGTAAATATAATTTTGCTTGTGAGCAATAAACTGCTTACATAATATAGATTGGATTTACAAGCTATTTCCAGATGCTCTGGTCATAGCACCCCGGCCGCGTCAACGACTCCAGGAACTTGGGGATTTCAATATCCCATGCATCCTGGGGTTGCAGGTTGCCACGTTGTGGGCTCCAAAGAATTGGATATGCCCCGCTGATAATGGATATAGAATAACATCGTTCCCATTAATATCCCATTATATATACTTTCAATATTGTGGTTGAAGGCTTTTAACTTGCGCAATCAAGGGGCTGTCATTTGCCGCACCGGTGCGTCCGAGTTAAAGCAAGTGTTCACCAGAGAGCACGGATAGACCACATTTCCTGGCTAGAAACCGGATTTGTGTGAGATTTGATACCTGCGAACGTTGTGATTTTGATTGATGTATTTGCCTCTGGATGGGATGATTTGAATCGAACCTATAAGCCCGCACAGGAAATAACAGCTCCCACTAGTCTGGCATTTTTGCAAAGTTGAACAGCTGGAACCTTCAGCTTAAATTCGTGTTTAAGGCCCGAGTTTTTTGATCCAGCATGAAGCCAGGTGGAAATCGTTGGAACGTTTTTTTGGTGACCCAAACCCTATGCACTTCGCATGTAGTAATGTGATGCTATATAGATGTATTACGTGCAGTGCAGCAACATTCCAACCCTCCAACCTTCCAACCTTGTTTTGAATCAATTTGATGAGAAACGACAGCAAATCATACGTTCTTACCATTGAGAATGATGGAGTTCAGCAATCATCATACATTCAGAGAAAACGCCGTCATCAAAACAGAATGGTGCCTTGAGGAAACATGTTAAAAATAACCGATGCTGGTGAATTTCCCTTCGGTGTGGGTTTGTCCAAAAACAGGTAGCTGACACAAAATGGTGTATCATATCATATAATATCATGTCATGTCATCATTCTTGCCAATCAAAATGCCAGGAATTGTGAACTGTCACTGTCAACCTCACATGCACTGTAACCGTGAAACACCAACTTAAGCCGGTTTGTATGTTTCCCCATTGGTTGCTGGTTTGTATGTTTCCCCATTAATTCCAAAAGACAAATCAATATTAAAGGTTCCATCCAAGGTTACCTTCGACATGGCGGATGAACAAGTGCCAAGGCGCCAACTGAAGTTGGGGGGACGCCCAGCGCTGCAAAAATGCTGAAGAAAATTCCTGCGTCTCTGCAGTTCCATTGAAAGGTGTTAAATCCTAAAACTTAAAGGATTGATCAGCATGAAACAATTTTGGAAGAAAATTGCGATGGTCCCTGGAAGGCCTGAACGAAACATCGTGTATACATGAAACATGCCCAAAAGGTTAACGTGACAAACTGAAGGACTTCCAACGGGATTGGGCAATTGAAGTGTACCACCGTTCCATGGTTCCATGGTGATCAGAAGATATCGCGCCATGATTGCACATGGAATTACCGTTTCGTACTGGCACCCTGAATCTTGAAGGCAGTTGGATCGCCAAGTGTTGCCTTTGAAACACTAAATAGTGATTCCAACTCAAGCCAAGCCGCTTGAGACTATGAAAGCTATGAACTTCAAAAAAACAATTGGCATTTCCACATTTGGTTCTTTTGTTTTTTGGTACAAAAACAATTTTCCCACGAACATTAGATGGCTGTGGATATTCCAGCATGTCCCACGGGTACCATCAACATCGTTTCGCCTTTCATCATCCAACCAGGATCCAGCGGCAATCTGTGGTAGCATTCTTTCTTCTGGTCAGTGCGTGCCCCCATATCGCAAAACAAGGACAAAATTGTTTTCTTCGAGTGATCCCCGCCCTGACGCATTATGCTCACACATTATTTTGGCATAGTTTTTGATATACCATCGGATATATTGATGAATGTATTTATGTATGCATGCATGCATGTTCTGACATTCTTTCTGGCATTTACTCTGACATTCTTTCTGGCATCTATTCTCACAAAGTTTCTGGTATATATGCTGATATTCCACCATTCTATTCGATTCTTTCATTAAATTCTGGCAGTCTATCTGGCATTTATTCGGGCATTCTCTCTGACATGGGCACTGCTGGACCTCAACCGCCAGCGCCAAATCTCAGTGGGCAGTGCCCGCTGAGGGCTCGCGGTTGAGGTCCGGCAGTGCGCACTGAGATCTGGAGCTTGCGGTTGAGGATGAGGAGGAGAAGAGGAGAAGAGGCGTGATAAAATCTAGAGACCCTCACCTGGCAGGTGGGGACAACCTTCGGTGAGGGATGGTGTGGATAAATCAGGAAGCATGAAAGTATGACCCCTGCCATTGGCCCTTCAAGTTGAGTGGCAACTTCCTCTGGTGACATTATACGAGGGGAATAGAGGAATTCATCCGATCATAGGAATTGACTTTTCATAACCTGCATCCAACACATTCCAAAAAGAGATGGTTTTGTCAACGCCGAGTTCATAGATGGCAAACATCTAGTATCAATACTCCATGGGGAGGAAATTAACCACCCCCAAAGGCGGTGAATCCCCAAACACAAAACTGTGCTGCGAAGCGTGCCCTGACCTGCTGTGAGGTGAACACCTCGGCTTGGGGGGTCATTCTGCTCTTGCAAAAACATGGGCTTGAAACATCGAAAAAATAACGCTTCTTCAAGTAGATGACAATACAGCCCGCAAGGAAACCAGGAGACAAACACCCAAGGTTCTTTCCAAAGGCAAGCCACGCACGCGAAGGGGTCTGTCCAAAAAACGTATCAATATCTATGATAGAAAGCATGGTGTGATGGTAGTGGTGATGCTGATGGTGATGGTGATGGCGCTGTAGACGACGGTGATGGTGATGATGACGATGATGATGGTGATGTTGATGGTGTTGATGATGCTGAAGAAGATGATGAAGAAGGTGACGATGATAAAAAACGATAATCATGGTGGTGTAGAAGATGACGGAGATGAAGATGGTGATGATGATGGTGATGGTTATTGTTGTTAGTTTAAAAAAAAAGCGTATTGGCAGCCGCTCTTTGGAAGGAGCCGTTCGCATGCGCTTTCAGGAAAATGAACGCAACAAAATGACGATCCAAAGCCAACAACACGCTGTTCTATCAAAACCATTAATAGAGCAACAAAGCCGTAGCTTGAAACAAACACATTGGCTTTGGGCAGGGGTAACAAATATTTACACACCAAACGCAGAAATTTAAACTTTGTGCGAGTGAATTAACATCCTAGCGATGGTGAAAAACCAAAGTAACCACACACAATAGCATTTCCAAAATTGCCAATGATAACCGGCCCACGAGACATGCTATGCCAAGTGTCAGCTGGGTACTGGAAAGGTATCGAAACCAGGTAGGATACCGTGAATCTGTTTTAAAGAACGCCAACTAGTGTTTTCCTGGTTATATCATATCGTGATGTAAAACGGTGATTGCATCCAAATCTTCCTCATTAATTATCTACAACATGGCATGTTGATTAGCGTACCCCAAACCAGTGATGCAAGCTGATGATGATGGTACCGATCTTCCAACCTCGACCATGGACAAATATAGCATCGGCTACATGAAATTTGATCCAAACACGTGATGACGCAAAATTCACTGGTTTGTCAGCATTTCCCTTGGGGGAAAAGGCATGCCCGAATTTTGCCAAGTCCAAATGAATCAATTACAAGTTGAAATCTTAGATCCTCAAATGGTTGTGCCTGCCGAAGCAATTGCATTTTGCTTGGGGCAAGCGGCATTTGATTTAGGATGAAGCTTAGGAAACTGCGTCAATGCAAGGGGGACACAAACCAAAAGGGAGGCGTTTACTTTCGGATATACAAAGCCTTCCATCGACGGAGGGCCACACAAAAATGTCAAACCGTCCCGACATGAGCAAACCAAGAGTTTAAAAAACCGTCGGGTTGAGATTTTATGACAATTTTGGCACAAGATGATGAAAGCCGCTTGATAGCCAAAGGTCCGGCTTTGTGAAAGTTGGCGAGGACATAGCGATGAACATCCCAGGGTTTCGGGCGACTTTCCACCAGAACTTGTCGTTGTTGTCGTTGTATCATGGAAAACCCACCATGAAAATCCACCTGCACTCGCGACAGGTGTGGCCCCTGCTATGATCAAACTAGTCTGCCATGACATGAGTGGATTGTGTGACTTAATCTAAAGGAACTACGGCTGAATCGTGGCCAACTTGCAAGGACCAGTGGGTCTGGGAGGCAAACGATAACAATCCCAAGCGACGACTCAAGTGAATGATGGCGGCTAGGGTACCTCCATTTGTTTCGAATGGTTTGTGACTGCTTGACTGATTCTCCGGCAGATATGCCGCAGAGAAAAAACGCCCACACATCACCAAATACTTTGCCCATGGAACATTCCATGATCTTGGCAGCGTGCTGCCCTTTAAATGCGCGCCTCTTCCGTTAGCAATTGCCCAGCCGAAGCGACAAGGAAAACTGCAAAAAGATTCCATCTGCCCATCACGAACTTCGGTCACTAACTTGGCCCATGGGCTGCCAGAGTGGAAGTTCTCAATAGCAGCCTTGAACCGGAAATTTCTGTACGCCGCATGCTGTATGTAATGGCGTCATGTTTTTTGGCACATACTAATTTTGAGGTTATACCTTGCTTCGGAATGCTTCTGCTAGGGAATCCTTCAGGCTTTTTGTTCCCCTGTTTGTTTGGTAAAATGGACGCCATCCATCTCCATGAAGAACCAAGAGCTGGTAGTTAGCATCAGACTGCTCGCGCAACGGAGGGTCCTTCATGTGCCTCGAAAACAAGCCGGAAAATATTAACATGCGGTAGAAAAAAAGAACCTCAAAAACTAAATCGGTTTTTGCCAAGAAAAATGACAACTTTGGCGCCGATATTCATGATACCGCGAGAGGGCCCATCACTATTGCATGTTGCCCGCAAGAACCCAAAGAGAGCACGATGCTGGGCCCGGTGCGCCAAACAATTGAAACAACGCGTGACCGGACACTGGGGCAGGAACCGCAATCTTGCGATAAGCAATATTAGTACAACAAACCGTGGTGAAGCCAAAAGTAAACCACACTTCCTTTATGTTCTTTTGCGTATTGGATCATTTTGGGAAACGGGAAAAATGCCCAAAAACATTGTTTATTGCTCTAATAACTCTAATGGCAATCCATTTTCGAAGGCAAACAAGTTCTGTTAGTTGAAAAAAGCGCCTGCCGGCCTCTTGACACGCTGACTTCCCTCTTTCTCAATGAGGTCGCTCAGAATGTGGAAAACATGTTTTTCCAAGTGGCCAAAGAGCAAAGAGGGGTTGTCTGCATTTTGCACATATCAGGTCGCAGTGACTTTCCACTGATTCTTCAATCATCTCCCAAACAGTTGGCCAAAGTTTCATGTTATTACTTATTACACAAAAGACAGATACTAGCCTTCACCGATGAGGCTGCCCGGATTTTTTTTGTTACACTCCAACTTCTTAGGTATCTTAGGTTGCACTCCCATATCTGGAAGTTTTGCCAGCGAACAAATGAATCCGTGGTTGGCTCGGTCGCGGTCTGTGTGCTAACTGCTATGAGGCGGGTGAAGGCGGCTTCGCGCAACGTATCTTGACACCTCGTTCAAGACAGCGGCGACGCGTGGCATTTTGGTGGCACCAGATTCGACCAGTAACAAGCCCCGTGGTGAGGCGATTGCCCTTCGCGATATCCATCAGGAGGCTGAGCCTGACCACGTTTTTGAATCATTTGACCCATGATGTCTCGCTTGTTTGCCTTGAATCGGCTACAAAGAGTAAGCTAAGAGACTCAGTCAGGTCTTCCCCGTCTAAATCGTGTGGATCACAATAGGCTGGATCCTTTTATGGCCCATGATTTCCTGATCGGGGACTGGGTAGCTTGCGAGGAGGTGTCATCCTAGGGCCAAAGTCAGAACATGACTTGGATTGCAGACGTGCAGCTACAAAGAAAAACATAGGGACACAGCACAAAAATACTTGAGGATGCCAAAAAAAATCAAAAACGAAACCAGTCTGCGGCCAGCATGGGTGAACCCAGCTTGCCTTTCCAGTGCAATAGAAGTTTTAGGGGCTGCAATCCTGCTTTCAATGCTGTTTCCAGCTTTCCGACATGTAATTTGAAATGCCCCCTGGTGAACGGGGATGGGTCACTTATGATTTCTGCTACGTCGTGCCTGTCCACAATTTCAAGGCCCCTACCATCTTCACCAGAAACTGCTTAAGCCCTTGGCTACAAGAACTGCCTCTTCTGGGCAGAACCCCTTGCAACATTCTTCCAGCGAGAAATGGGTTATTCCTCAATCGAAACCCGTGAAGAAACCCCAAGCTTCAAAGTAATATGGTTATGTTTTGAAACCCATGCTATGGTGAAAAACATTTAATAAATATGACATGACAATATGCAAACAATAAAAACACACCCAGGAGGCTCTTAATTTCTCAAACAAAAACACACACTTAGACACACACACGGTTTTGAGAGGAAAAATCCAGCCAAGTTACGAACCCCAAAATCTGCACTGCCAATGGTTCTTTCTTTGCTGGCTAGTCCCTTAGTCCCTTGGCAAAAAGGTGACGCACTTCAGGTCCAACGTGCACCAACTCCCAGCGCTGGCCAATGCTAGATGCACCCCATTTTCTTAAAGCTGATGTGTACGAATCCCCTTTTTTGCAAAGCTTTGAATACTAAACTACCTTCCACCAAGGTTTGCCCCGAAACATAGCAAATACAATGACAATTTCTTAAAATGACCGTGACTAATTAGTGAATGTCCACGGTCCATTATATTCCAATGTTTGCATCTCGAAGGTCGACTTGCAATGTTCACATGCTCGGACTAGACCCACCTCATGCACCAAAACTCCTAACATTGCCGAACTTGACAAAATCACAAGTTCTTCGGAAGGGACCCTCGTCGCATAAATCATGTATGGTCAGCAAGAGCTTGGTGGTGTTGTGATCCTCCGAGATGTTTGCCTGCGTTTGTTTTTTTGCTTACATGTCTACAAATGTTTGATGTGTACAGGCGAGCCTTGCACGACCAAAAAATATGCCTGATCAGGGATAACCTCAACAAGTTAAAACATATATTTGATGAATATGAGCATGGAACCCCGCAAGATATGTTTTTCTTCCTCCAAGATTTAGGCCACCCTCACCCTACATCACATGTCGTGTCGTGACAGTCCCCATCAATAGGTCACACCTACTGAGACAGGTCTCAATTTGGGGTGCAGCCAGTATATCTCCGATTTGTCTTGATAGTGCACGTAGTTTGGCCACTGTCGACCGCTGTGTTTTGGTCGGATTTCTCGCAGATCATCTGTCTTACTTGGATGGAAGGTAATGTTCATTAGTTTTCCTATGTTTTCACCTCTTATGGAAGGGGCATATGCCCCACTTTTGGACAACCCCCCGAAGCCGCCTTCGCTTCTTGCAGCGGCGCCGTGCTTCTCATTTTAATCAGCATCAGTCGGTCCGCAGTGCAAAAATTGCCACACACGGCCAACGCGACAATTGCTGCTAATGTGGTAAGCCGAGAGCGAACCAGACCATTAACAAACGAGACCCCAACTGTCCGCTTTCATCATGGGTGGGTAGAACAAACTGCCATCCCCAAGAGTAGCTTGTCTATGGTCTGGTTCACCGCCAAGCTAAGACAGCAACGGGGTTTTTGACTTTCCCAAATGATTTTGAAATATCATGTGCTCTTTCAATCACACTGCTACGGGTTCCTGGGAAACTCCGTTGAAAAGAATGGCTGCCAGCGGTGGTTCCCGTCTTCATCCCACAATGAACGAACGCACATAAAGGCATCAGCCTAAGGCGAACCTAGCCCTAAGGCCTTGCATGTGATAGCGTAACAGATCAATGTGGGCACTTGGTTCTCTCCTTTCAACCTAAAGTTCTTGGGTCACACCCATGCTTCCTGGGGATCAAGTGCGGGCAAGGCGCCATTGTTTCAGCACATCTCTGGTGGACCGGGGGATAATCACAATGGATTGTTGAACCATTGTGTGGGTGAGAAGCACATAGAAAATAGATCATAGAAAGTAAATGAAAAATAGTAAGTAAGCACTATGCAAATTCAACAACATAGATAAATAAAATGGAAGAAATGAACATTTACTGCAAAAGAATAATAACGCGCACACACACACACTTATAAACAGATCTTAGGTTCGATTACATTACATTGATTTACATGACAGCGCATGAAAACTACATTTACATTACATGCATAACATAGCTGTCCCATTCTTACATATCTGTAACATCCTGTCCCGTCCATAGCTGTACCACAAGTTGTAAGATACATACCTGTACCATAAGCTGTAACATACATACCTGCACCATACCATACGATTTCAATTTTCCACACACACACATATATATATATCATTATGTATCATTGTGAGCGTGTGTATCGTCCGTGATTGAAAAAACACCGCCTGAAAGAACAAATCTGATTGGGGTTCGGATCGTGAATGTTTTGTGTTGGCCACCAGTTCTACATCTAAAGGAGCACTTCTGAAAGTATCCACCTATGGCATCCTATGGCGATGTTGTTTGACGTCGCAACAGCAGGCTCCCCCTTGTTCAACCCAGATCACCTTCCAGTGGTGGGGTTTCCACCACCGGAATCGCCTTGCGAGTACAGATTTCGTTGACTTCTCCGACTGCCAGGGATTGGAGATTTTCATCATTCCAATGGAGAATCCTACTAAAACTTAGAAAGTCATTCGCTTTTTTTGAATTTTTTGTTGCCACAGGAAAAAAGGCATTGTTTGTGATTTTGCTCGCCTAATTTCCATGCTTGTGAGCCTTCTCTTTTCATCAATCAGTGGGCATTGGGACGGACCTGTTTGGAACCAGTTGATCGATCCTAGCGCCAAAAGAATCATTAAAAAGGCCAAGTTTGGGAATGTTTCCCCCCAATCCTAGCTGATCCTAGCTCCAAAAAAGGTCTGATATTTGCAACTTTTTGCTCCATCTAAGCATCAATCAGCTACACCTGAGCACCAAAAGGGTTTCAACATGTTTGAATCTGGGGGCCCAAAACTCTCTATTTGTATTGTAGTTATTTTGGTTAAAGAATGCGCATCTGATTTCGTAGATATGGGTCTGGTTCGAAATGCGGTATACCACCAAATTGTCAATGTTGAATGGGCACAGCGTTGAATGGGCACCAAAAACCCAACCCGACTAGTGAGCCGGTTCAGCAAGCTCACGGAGTGTCAACTTGGGGACCAAAAATAAGCATCAGTTACTAACATTAAAAACCAAACTCCAACCCCCGAGCAAAAAACACGCCAAGGATGGCCAAGATGGCTGGAGACAGGCACAGTTTTCGATGGCAACTGGAAAAGAAACTACACCAGATACCATTTTTATATCTGGGTACCCTCTGGCATATCAACATAGACCCTGGCAGATAGGGGTTGGAAGACTAGTTTCCACTATAAATTTGTAATTTTCAGGGTCTATGTTAATTTACCAGAGGGTAATTGTCAGTTGCTTCTACTGTTACAACATTAAACAATGCTGGCACAACTGGTA